CGCCTCGTGGTATATATTTACGTTTGATTCATGCATGCTTTTGCTTTTGTCCAAGATCATGATCTCTGTTTCTGACATCTCAGCCGTGAATTTTATCGTAGAGTGAAAGTTATTTGCCCTTTCCACAAAGCTCTCTATTTTGTCTAGACTTGTGTTCCATTGCGAAAACACATCGTCAATATACCTTTTCCAAAAAAGCGGGTTGGTTTCTGCACTGTTGGCTGAATGAGTCGATCTACAAAAGTAGATATCTGCTCCGTGGGGCCATCGCTTCCTGTTATTGCAGGCGCGATACTTCACCGGCACTGGTCAAAAGACAACATCAATTTTGACAGTTTGAATAATTAATGAAACTATCTATTTTATACGAAATAATTGTGTTGTTGGCAAACAAAAGTGACCCTTTTAAGAAAAAGTAAGATATAATATAACTGGCCCTATTTCATTCCATTTCCGACCGGAAATATTGCGTGACAGAAAGCAGGAGCTACCGGAACATCAAAGTTCAGATCCTATGAAACCTGGGAAAAAACCCTTTTCTTACTTGGTCATAAATCTTTCCTATAGAACTCCATGTTTTATTAATCCAGTCCATGTTTTACCAATCCATGGTCCAGTCCATGTTTTATCACATGCCGATTTGTCTGATGATCTGACGGTCTGTTTGTTTTCATGTCTTGTTATCCGTTTGGAAATGATGTTTTGAAGAGGCAGTCTCCCTAAAAGCGGTCCACTCGATTTCGCGACAAAAATACTTTTCCTTTATTTTTTGTCGGTGAAGAGGCTTTAGTAGGTATATACTAAAATCGCTATTTTTGTTTTCAAATTCTTATTCTTTATTAGCTCTGCTACAAGCCAAAAACGAATTGAGTCCGTCTCGGCTCCTCAGAGAGTGTTTCAAAGACTAAAATTGATGGATTTTGAAAAGTGCGTTGCAAACAAACGAATGGCCGCACAAAAAATCTGTTCAATTCGGTTTTTTTAGTTAACCTTCGATAGTTCACAGGCTAAATAAAAATATCTTTGATCGAAACGTGTTCAAGTTACAGTGGTTCAAAGAATAACTATTTTGCAGGCTTAATCCAAACCCTGAAAGTAAGGAAGGTTTGAGGGAAAATACCTCAAAAGTTGCGGCCTAAATCTAGTTCAAAAATCATATCAAAGTAAAGTTTTAAGCTTATTTTTTTGGTTTATAGGCTCAGACTTGTGGGTATCTTCTGGGATTGCAACCAACAGTAGATTATAATCTGCCATTTTGCGTATTCGCATAATTAGATGTCAGATGTCATGATTGTACAGATTAAAAGTTCCATGAAATTGCCTCTTTTGACACTCGAATTCGTCTATCGAAAGAGATATAGTAACAGGGATTATCATGCATGTTACTGATTACCACGATCAACTGGCGGGCGCCGTCGTCTTGTAACTACCTGCACTGAACAGTAAACAATGTTTTTAATAGTTTTCTCTAGATGAGAAGTTGATCCAAGCTCTGTAAGTAATGAAAATAAATATCACTACACCGGGATACAAAACATGTACAAGAAAGGCAACGTAGAATTTTAAGTTCTTTCCGCAATTTCAGAGTGAATTTCACTGCGGTGCATAAATTAATAGGGCCATTTATACGAGAAAAAATAAGACGGGAACGGTACCATTTATACGAGCATGTCTTGTCTAAGACCGGAACAGCTCGTATAAATGGTTCGCGTCTTATTTCTGTTCTGTTCTGTTCTTTTCATGTGAATGTTGCCCGTAGCAACGGCAATCCAACGTGGCGCGCCAAAAATTAACGCATGCGTACTATGGGTTCGCGTCTTATGTAAGACGCGAAAGTCATTTATACGATGTTTTTCTCGTCTTAGCTAAGACCGTCTTCTAAGAACAGTGTTAGGGCTGTTCTAAAATAGACGCTCTTAGCTACCGTGTCTTATTTTAGACGAAATGTGCCGTTTATACGGAAAGTTCGCGTCTTATTTAAGACGCGTCCTATGTAAGACGCGTCTTATTTTTCCTCGTATAAATGGCCCTATTGTAATAATCAGGCTGTTTAAAAACGTTTGACGCACAACAAAAACAATTAGTCATTTACCGTTTTATCTGTTCTCGGTAAATAAGACGCTTACCTTTACTTTAGATTCTTGATGGAAGAAGTCTATCCAGCCAGCTGAAGTTATGCAGTTTCGTTAATTTTCAAAATCAAAAAATAGCGTGATTTGTCACGTAATGTTACGGTCACGTGGCTACGTAACCCGTCGGCGGCCAAAATCTTTGTGACAAACGAAATTTCTGTTTCTCTCCAGAAAAAAAAGGCCCTAATTGAATTGAATTAATTGAATGCGCAACAGGCGCTTGGAAGTAGTGGGCGCAACAAAGAGCGGGTGTCTGCGCGTGTCTCCCTCACGCGCGACCCTTCTTACTTGCGCCCACTACTTCCAAGCGCCTGCTACGCAGGCTATGTGTTCTGAGAGAACAATTTAAGTAAAAGATGTTGGTAAATCGACTGAAGAATACTGTGAATATTAAATAAATATAAAAATAAAATAAATAGATAAATGACCTTTAATCACAGATTGACAAGGTCCTGCCTTTGTTTATGGTGCTCATAGAGCCCACTGCGCCTGTCCTCAACTCTAACGATTCTAGCAAATTGTAAAGCTTCCGAAGGTATATTATCCTTAAAGCTCGCATTTGGACCCGCTCTATTGTACTAGGCAGATGGGCAGGAAGGGCGTTATATCAAGCCACGCAACCAAGTTGTACTCTAGGACGGAACGTAAAGGAGCGACTCAGATAGCCGCAAGGTCCACTGCACCGATTTCCGATTTCCTGGGAGACACCTCCCCCCATCCCCCCCACTGCCTAGAACCTTGTGTGAACGAACTCTTTTGAGTACTTGTCGATCAATTCGTAAAGGGGGTAGCTGAGTTTCGCGTTACGAAACACACCCGTGGCTCTTTACACTTTGTAGCATTAAGGTTCATCAAGAAAAGGTTTGGGACGCAGATGGAAATTGACAGTGGTACTTCTTAATTTTTCTTGGGCTTAGGTGGCCCATCAGATCCTACAACAAGTACTGGAATATATTCTTCGATATTTTGACGCACTGAAAGCCACTTGAACTGGCAAGCAATTTATTGGTGCAATTTGGAAGAAATCGGGATTATGAGACACACTCAGATAAACTGATAACTTTCGGTTGACTGCAGTTCGGTCATGTGAGTCTAATCCTGCAGATTCCCTCTTTTGCCAGCCCATGCGAACGTTTGGTCAGCATATTTCGATCTCTGTGACAACGTTCACTTACATAAAAAATTGTGTCTTAATATCAAAAATTTAGAAAAAAAGATAATTTATATCCTTATCGTGGCACTAATTAACTTCCGTAAACCTGAACAAAATTGAGCCCGGATACCTGAAAACCCAAAACCCCCGGCCAGGCCTCTCTCCTTTAGAACGTCAAAATCACGTAATCGGGATGTCAACAAGATGTCACATTAAAATACTCTACATGGAAACTACAAGACTCCCTGTAGGTGCACTTTTAAAGACTATTGCATCCGTTCTTTGGAAACGTTTTTGTCGTACTAACTATTTTGGCCTCACATGGGACATTCTAAGTTGACAGCATAAGGGATTAGAGACCAGGTATCACAGGCCACCCCACCAGGTTCCTAATCTCAATTGTTGCACATGCGATTTCCCTTTTTTAAGCAACAAACTTGAAAAACAGGAATCAAATTTTGCTTTAAAACTTATGCTTTGCCAAGCGCGAGAAATGAATTCTCATGGGTAACAATTGCAATTAGCGACCTGGCAGGCTGGGGCCAATGGTTGGTAGGTCAACTCTGTAATCCTTTATACTGTACGTGAATTTTAGAAATGTACCATATAAGAGGCCAAAATAGTCATTACAAGAAACTGGTTTGAAATGAACGGATAAAAGAGGGTTCAAAAAATGCAGCTAAACCAACCTTACACCTCGTTGGCCTGCTGCTTACGTGATTTTTGAAAACGTGTAAAAGGAAGGGATTAATATAGCTGCAAGGCGTATTTTGCTGTGCGATCGATTTGAATTGTAAAAAAGTGATTCCAAGGAAGAGGTTGCCTGCCCCTCCTCATCGGGTCGCGCGTTAAAACGAAAAAAACCGCCTGGGCTAGGATTAATAAGGCCAGTGGTACCATGACGTAGAAAATGATTCATTACCAAGGTCTTCCAAAGGTTTTGGTTAAAAATAGGCAATTTTTCCATCTTTTTATCATAGGCGAAATAGGCCAGGAAAAATGTGTTTGCGAGTATTCTAGAAAGAAAAAAAGCCTTTCCAGACTATAAAAACAACAAGTTAAAAAGTTAAAAAAGTCAAAAATTTGGAATTTTTCCAAAGGGGTTGTCACTGGTTTTGGTCAAAAATTGGCAATTTTTCCATCTTTTTAACATAGGCAAAAAAGACAAGAAAAATGTGTCTGAGAATATTCTAGAAAGAAACAAAAGCCTTTCCAGACTATAAAAACAACAAGTTAAAAAAGGCGGAAATTTGGGATTTTTCCAAGAAAATATTGTTAGTGTGATTTTGAGTGGTGCACTGAATGCTTGTTTGTGATTGGTGTGCCCGTGTCCAGCAATAGGGAGTTTAAGATCCAACGACGCGGACGACAACTAGAACGTCAAAAAACAATAGGATTAATTAGCAAAACAACAACTTCGCACGTGCATCACACTTTTTTGTACATTTCTTTCCCGTTTTTGCACGACTACGACGTGAAAATGCCTAATTTCGCGTTTTATGGAGGACGTAAACAAGCAACGACGAAGTTTTATTTCTCTTTCTGAGCTCCAATTTGGTCCCTTGAAATTCAGCTTCAGGAGGGTTCGCCTATAATTGACAAAGTAAGTGGGTAGGAATAATCGCTATAAAGACTGAAAGAACGCAAATCCTTTTTTTAAGCGACGTTCTTGTCGCCGTCGCGTCGTTGGATCTTAAAGTCCCTATTAATCCTGAGGGCCACAACCGCTAAGGACACCTCATGAAGTTTACACAACGTACGATTCCTTGTCGCTTCGGTTTCGAGCTGAAAACGCACGTGGCATGGCTCCATTTGCAACTGTAACTTGTCATGTCCGACGAAACGTTTCCACGGAACGAAGAGAATATGTCAGGTAACCTTTAATATTTATATTGTCGGTGTTGTTTCAATGCATTCACCCCTGAGTCTTCACTCCCGGTCAATACCGACAGTAAACCGTTTAATGCAGAAGCAACAAGCAAGCCTTGGTTGCGTGTCCACTTTTTCAGTCCGGTTGTCCATGGAGGACTTCATAAAGTCCTTTTGCAAAAGACAAGATGACTTTTTGTAGGGAAAATTTTGCTCGAGTAACCGACGTTTTTTGGCGGCTTACTAGCCGAACTGGGAACCAAAAGCAAACATAGCGGAGTCGATCGAAGTCGATGTTCGCTGAAAGGTTTCGGATTTTGTACGGATTCAAGTCCATCCTTTAAAAGGGAAACGCACTATTGAAAACGTGCTTAGTGAACCGTAAAAGGGTTTAAAAACTTTGATGTTTCTTGTGGAATTGAGAAACGAGGCAGTTTTTCAATGTCTGTATTTTTTACTTGTTTTTCAGGTACTTCACGTGAGTTCAGTGTCCAGTATAGCTGCAGAGTGTCAACTACCTGGGCCGTTTGACCAGGTGAGGTTAAAGTAAGAGACATTCCAACCCCTTCTGAGGGAAAATTGGGAGGTTTTTTTCAACCCCAAAGGAGCTAATATGAGAGCCGAAGGCACGAGTCTTCAGTCAGTCATCTACAGTAATTCTCCAGATAAACAGAATAAATCTGATGCAGAAACCTGGGTTGCTTTAACTTATAGTCAGGTCTCTTAAGGTCAGGATCGTTACAGAGTTGACAAAAGCACCAAACTTTGCACAGCGATAGCTTATTGCAGTACCATGAATATTGGAGGGGGTGCCCAATGCAAATATGCCACTGAAGCGTGCGAAACAGGATTTAATTATTGTAAATTTCACCTGCTGGGGTCCCTGTGGTGTTTTGATTGAAAATTGTTATTTAATACCTTAAATCACTCAGAATGCTCTTCTCATGTTGTAAACAACAATTTCACTCGAAAATCTGGGATTCTCATCCATTATTAGCTTATTGATTGTATAATTAAGTTGATTATTACTGTGCCCTTAAAGCAAGTCCACAGTCCACCCACATTTTCATAAGTCATTTCTAAGATGGTCTCGTCTTTGCTTCATATAACTTGCAAGTACTCAGCTTCTGGGGTTCTCTTATCCTTTTCCAGTGTACTTTAATTAGAGGAGGCCTTATTGTGTGGCTTTAGCCTTATTTATCAAGTATTACTTGTCATTACATGTCATTTTAAGCTAAAGAAAGCGTATGGCATAGCAATTCACACACAAAATTTCAGAAAAAAGAAATTGTCGAAGAGTCTGTTGTATCACATAATTATCAGGGATTTACGACAGCTGTTCATGAAGAACAAATAACAAAATGACAGAACCCAAAATAGTTCTTTCCTAGGGAGGTAATTAATTTTTCAGCTTAACATAGGCCTGGATGCCTTTCAGTCTATCTTTATCTGCTGGATGCACGTGCATGTTTTGACATAGAAGCAAGCACTGTGGTACAAGTCATATCATTTACAATTCCTGCAGTTTGTCTAAGCTTTACAAAGCAAAAACAAACAAAAAAGAATCTGGTCTCATAAACGAAAAAAAGAAACAAGTTAGCCCAAGCTTGGCACGCCCAAGTTTCTCACCAAGCTGCACTCGCAAACAAGTTGTTAGGTTTCGTTAGCAGGAACTCTAGGTTTATTCACAGTACTTCCGTAAGGCACACATTATACCTCGGGCTAGTTCGTACTAATCTTGGCTACGCAACCCAGGTCTGGGCGCCCCAAGGCATTGAACTAATTTTCTAAACTCGAAAGTATCCAAAGACATTCCACCAAGTTCATTCTTTGCATGCCTTTTTTAACAAATATCTCTTACAAAGAAAGACTAATGTTTGTAAACCTACTTCCTGTGTGCTACTGGCACGAGTTACTAGATCTAGTATACTTTTACAAGGCTACGCATAATATGATTCACTTAGATCCATCTGTTGTTCCCTTGGTACGTGAATGCGCGCGAAGGACCCGTATATCCGTGACAAGCTCTCAATCTTTTGCGCCTAAAAAATGCAGAACTTCTACCTTTCTGAAATCTTTTTTCATTAGAACCACTAGAATCTGGAACCTGCTTATTACAGACTTGACCTACATAAAGTTACTTTTGAGAGCCGATTTCTAGGCTCCTGGTGTGGCAACATAGGCATAAGTGAATGCAAAGTTTTGCAGAATTTAATCTGTCAGAAATCTGTTTGAGTGGTCAAAGTTGGGGCTGATAAGCTTCTTTATCATGACCACTCCATTATTACAAGGGACCAGGCCATAATTATTGTTGACCCTGGCTTTTTTTGGTATTTTCTGTAATTTTCCACAGCACTATTTTGTGAAAAGTTGGTGACTGAATTGCTCTTGAAGAATTCATGATTGTAAGATTTTGTAAACACGGGGTATTCGCCTAATTGCATCAGACAAATTACATTCATTTTCATAAATAATGCATCATTGGTTGGCTAAAAGAGACCTTGTTTCGGTAAATTTCAACTCTTCTGAAGTTTGTTTGTTTGTAAATTGCAAGGCACGCGAGGACATTGCTTTTTTTGAAAGATCGTATAGACCTACCATTAACACTCTGGTGCAAGGACTCTGAACTGAATGAGCCGCTTACAGGTGTCTAGGCATGCAGGGACCTCGTACAATTCTTTTTAAATGCAAATATGCAAAAAAATAAAGAGTGTTAAAAATTGCACCGCACTGCACAATTACAAAGTGGGCGCGTTGTCAGTTACGGTTCATGAGGCCGTTCATGTGGCATGTCAAAATTTAACGATTCTATCGTTTAGGATGTGATGCATTTGGGTCAAGAGCCATATGGCTCTTGATTTGGGATTTATGTTATTGTATGACATCTTCTAAGCTGGCTTTGTGATCTGTTTAAATTGATATGTAGCAGTGACACTGATAGCCGCACAGAGGGGACACTGGGGGGTACCCAATACCGCAACACCGCAAGAAAAACTAGAAAATACCGAAATGCGGTGTCCAAAGTCGACGAAATAACCGAATTTTATGATTGGTCACGTTTTACTTAAAGCTGTATCCATCTCGCGAGTTTGCCACCTCAAGCATGTATGCACCAGTAATCAACTTTAGACATCGGGAGAAAACATAAGAAGACCTTGAATTGATCGGTAGAACAATTTAAAAGCCCGGTCATTACCATTAAGTCTAAAGTGTAACTTTTATTAACCTGTTTAGCTTGCTGTGGTTCGTGCTGCACATTGTATTAACCTGTATTAGACAGGGGAGTGAAATGGAATGGTACTGCAATACCGTGAACGATCTTCTTTTACTGAATACCGTAAACGAAAAGGATGAAAAACCGCATACCGCAAAGCTAGATTTTTTTTTTTTTTTTTTTTAAATTTTTATTGTTTTTACAAACATAATGCTGACTTACTTACATAGTACTTACTTACTTACATAAGGCTTTAATACCCACTTACATATAACTTGCTAAGTTAAATACTACATACTTACATAATATAAACTTACAAGATAATGCTTACAAAACAGGAGCCAATGAGTTGGAGTCTGTTACAAAATAATGAAAAAAGAATTCTAATACAACTAATTACTAACTTACTATCTATTAACGAAGAGTAAATACGTAAAAAACAACAAAAAAATAGATAAATAAATAAATAAATAACAAACAAACAAACAAAACAAAAAAGCCAAAAAACAAGGGAAATTAGCGAGAATCAAGAAAATTATTTTTACAGCTTGACTTGCACCTTTGCTTTGCTAGTTTCAATTTGTATTTTATTTTTAAGGATAGACAAAAAAGCGTCGAAAAAATAATCTTCCTCATTTTTAGACGCGGTGTAAAGCTAGATGATATCACAATACCACATATTAACATCAAAATTACCGAAATACCGCTTGAAAAAAGCTCAATACCGCAATACCGTAAACCCACAAGTCCCCCTCCGCACAGTGAACATGGCCGCACTTACCTTGTGGAGACTGGGCACTAGTCAGTGTTATGTAGATGTAAAACTATTTTGAATAGTGTAACAACAACTAAACACTACCAAATCAAAAACTTAAAAATCTGAAACAAATGTTTTTTAGCCAAATCAAACAAGAAGAGTGCTCGTCACAGGGGACCCAATCTGCTATTATAGGTGAAAGTTAACCCCCCCCCCTTTTATCTGTAATTAGGACCATTTGTAACGGGCACCCCCTCCAGTATTAATTGGTAGGTGCTAAGGAAGCTCTGTGCCAAATTTGACACTTTTGTCACGTCTGTAACGATCCGGCCTATATTTTGCACTAAGAGACCTGACTATTAACTTTAACTTTAACTTTATTATTCCATCGCTCATATAGTACAAACGCAGTAAAGCCAAAGCCGGGGGCTTATACGGCCTGTGGTCAGAATGACAGAAATTATTTTATATAGAAATGAAGACTGTAGGCTAAACTACAAAACTAAAACAAGATACAAAACTGAAATTAAATAAGTTTACATGCATGCAGTCCTATAACAGTCCTATAGATTTTCACTCACGTGGCCAACATCTATGCAAATTTATTGGAACAAAAGAAAGCGTTTGCATAAGAAAAGAGTTCATCTCCCACAGGATTGGTTTGGGACACCAACATGGCCGCCGTTTCATTGTTTTGGGACACTAATATGGCCGCCATGACGTCATGTGAAAACACTCTATAACAGTCCATAAGTAGTGACAAATAAACTAACAATAAGCTATGAGAATCCTGCGCTAGTTCAATTTCGGCTTGAAAAGTGAAGTTTTAGTTTCTTTTTGAAGTTAGTATTAAATATTTTATTTTAGTCAGTAACTGTAACCTAACACTAAATAGAAGTGATAAGCTGATAGTAAAAAAACACACTTAATTTTCCAGAAAAATGTCTGTGCATGGCAAATTGAACATGAAGCATGTAATCGTCAGAGGCCAGCGGCATGCAAACCTGAACTAAAAGTGTGGATTAATCATGAAGAGGTAGGTAACACATCCTACATGGGTGTAGACATAACTGGATCCTCTTTTGGATCCCTTTTTGGGCCAATCATTTTCTTTAAATAGAGAGAATTCATATAACTCGTTTCTTATATGCTAATGAAAACTGCTAAATGCTAATGCGAAGAACAATGGAGAAGGCACGCACCAAACTGGACACTGCTACAAATTCTTAATTGAAAGAGAGTTCGAATGATGTCTTCTGTTGATTTTACGTGCGGGATGCCGAATTTTCATCCGTGTTTCTCCCAAACAAATGTTCAAATACCTGAAATACTGGGAAAAGCACATCTCAACCGCTGGAGTTTTCCTCACTATAAAGACTGAAAGTTGTTAAACAAGTGATGCTGCAGTTTTTTGGTCTGGCTGTGGTAACTGAAAAGACCACAAAAATCAGCAAAAAGGCAAATCGTAATTTGGATAGCTTAACCACTTTGCTAAAGAATCTAGAGTTGAGGTTCTCTTTTATTGGTATAACTGAGACCTGGCTTTGAGACTCATCGTATCATACCGATATCTCAGGTTATAGTTTTGTCCACAATCCACGTAAACATAGGACAGGTGGAGGTGTAAGTCTATATTTAGCAGACAATTAATTTTGATTTTAAATGTCGACCTGACTTAGTTTTTTCTTGCACTGAATGTGCTGAGTCTTTGTTTGTGGAAATCAATAGGCCGAAAGAGAAAAATATAGTCGTAGGTGTGGTTTACAGGCCACCAAATTCAAATTTACGAGATTTTATGAATAGTCTGGATTCGTTGCTTGCAAGTATCTCTAAGGAAAACAAGATTTACTATGTTTTAGGTGACTGGAATCTAGACTTAATCAACCGCCATCGTCACGACACAACTTGAGAATTGTTAGAAACTATGTATTCAAGAATGTTTTTTCCATTGATCACACGTCCGACAAGAATAACTTCTAACACGGCTACACTAATTGATAATATTTTCACAAATAATTTAAACAACTTATCTGTTAGCGGGCTGATGTTTTGTGATATATCTGATCATCTTCCGATTTTCACACCGCTTCTTGATCAAAACAAGAACTTAAATACAACTTCTTGGCTTTCTTTTCGTGACAAAAGTCGAAATAATGTTGTCGCTAAGTTTAAAGATAGGCTTGCAAACGTTCATTGGGATGAATTATCTGAATGTAAAGATACTGATCGATTGTGCTTATCAGTGTTTTCTTGATAAATACACTACCATTAATTTACAATGACTGCTTTCCTCTCAAAAAAGTGAAAGTAAAGAATGTTACTTTGAGCAAACCATGGATAACTAAAGGTCTTCTTAAATCGGTAAGAAAAAAGAATTTATTACACAACTGTTTCCTTGCTAACCCAACTCCATATCGTGAGAAACTTTACAAGAGTTATAAAAACAAATTGACACATTCCCTTCACGTTGCTAAACGTCTCTACTACAATAAAAAGTTAGATGAATATAAATCCGATGCAAAATCAACTTGGAAATTACTTAACGATCTTATTAACAGGAAGAAAATTAAGTGTAAGTTGCCTTCCATCTTCAAATCTAATGAAGAAGAAATATGTAATCCTACTCATAGCAAACCGTTTTTGCGAGTATTTTACGAATATTGGACCTAACTTAGCTAAATCAATTCCAGCGTCTGACAAATCTCATCGTTCTTTTCTGAATGGAGGCTTTATTTTAAAATTCATTTTTTCTTCAATCGGCATCAGAACAAGAAGTCTCTGAGATTTGTAGCAGCTTTCGATCCGGTACTGCTCCAGGATATGATAGTATTTCAATGAATGTTGTTAAAGAGTTTTTTTACTTAATCTGTGCACCATTGACATATATAATTAACTTGTCTCTTAATTCTGGCATTGTACCCCAAGAGATGAAAATTGCACGAGTTATTCCATTGTTTAAATCTGATGATAAATCTTTGTTCACAAACTACAGACCCGTATCAGTGTTACCAGTTTTCTCTAAATTCCTAGAGAGAATCGTCTACAATCGCCTCATTAATTTTTGAAATAAATATGATATTCTTTCCCGGAATCAGTATGGATTCAGAAAAAATTATTCTACTGCACATGCTTTAATCCAATTGTATGACAAGATCTCAAATGCACTTGATAATAAAAGGGTAACTTTAGGCCTATTCATTGACTTATCTAAGGCCTTTGATAAAGTAAATCATGAAATTTTGCTCGACAAATTAGATCATTATGGAGTACGTGGTATTGCTTTACAATGGTTTAAAAGTTATCTATCTTGTCGAAAACAATTTGTGCAATATAATGGTTACAACTCTTCATCATTAGATATCACTTGTGGAGTCTCTCAGGAATCTATCCTAGGTCCCCTGTTATTCTTAGTACATATAAAATGATCTATGTAATGTGTCAAAGGTCTTAGAGCTGACACTATTTGCTGACGACACTAATATATTCTATTCACATACTGATGCTTCCTATCTTATGGAAGTTGTAAATTTAGAATTGAAAAAGATAACGGTTTGGTTTTATACAAATAAGCTATCTATTAATGTTAAGAAATCTAATTTTATCATATTCAGACCGAGACAAAACAGGCCAACCCTTGATTTAGCTTTTAATATTACTAATTATTCGATTGATCGTGTTAAGGAAGCTACTTTTCTTGGTGTAATTTTGGATGAACATTTAACATGGAAATCACATGTACATAATGTTGCTCGGAAGGTGTCTAAAGCCATAGGTATAATTTATAAATCAAGTTTTTGCCTTAATAATTCCTCCTTACGGATGCTTTATTTTAGCCTTATCTACCCATACTTATTCTACTGCATGAGCGTCTGGGCATCGACCTACCCATCAAACCTCAGAAGATTAATCACACTTCAAAAACGGGTCGTAAGAATAATGTCAAGGAGTGCTTTCGATGCTCACACTGACCCCTTATTTAAAAATTTAAAAATTCTGAATCTTGAGAGTATCTACAAACTTCAAATAGGAAAATTTATGTATCAATACAGATCTGGCTTACTTCCTTATAGCTTCAATAACATGTTTTTGGTGACACGCCAGGTGCATTCTTACGGCACTAGAAGTTCAGAGCAATTTTATTTACCACAATTCAGGACTAATATAAGAAAGTTCTCCATCAGTTTCATAGGTCCTAAATTTTTTAACTCTCTTAGTTTTGAAATTCAAAATGCAACAAGTACCGCTTCCTTTTGCTGTAAGCTGAAAGCATTCCTCTTATCATAAATAGTAATTTATATAAATTATATATGTATTTTTTTTTCTTCCTTTGCTCTGTTATTTTCTTTTGTTTTTTTTTTCTTTTTGTCATGTTGCTTTTTTTAGCCTAGAACTGTGATTATGTATCGGTCAAATCGAAGCTTCAACATGCCCCCCCTCCCGGGCAACCCTCGGGCATTTGACTTTTTTGAAAATTATTGTTCAAATTCCCCCCTACCCGGGCCAAAATGCCGTTCAAATGCCCCACACTAGGGTCCATCCAGGTGATCAAATGCCCCCACCCTGGGGACATTTCACAGGCACAAAAATGACAGAAGGACGGCGGAAACAAAAAGTTGTCGAACAAAATATTTATAAATATAACAAAACTTGAGAAACACCGTTAGCGTATTTACTATGAACAAAAGTCTCGTGCAAAGCGGCGGAAATCACTGCTACAAGGTCACTGAATGCTCAGCTTTTCTTCGTCATGCAACATACAAAGTGTTCTATAAATAAGATCCCGCCCATTGAGATAACTACATCATGACTATTTCACTGACATGCATCATCGTTCACCTTATTAATTAACATACTTGCAGTAGGTCAAAGTAGTTGACCTGAGCTTTTTATCTTATTTCATTTTATGTTGTTGTATTGAATCGCCGATATAGGTATTGTCTTTCATTGTAAACACAACGATAAAATACATTCATACATTCAAAGCCTGAATCCAATATTAAAAATTTTAAAATTTAAATACTTCAAATACGACACAAAGCTTGTTTAAGCCCTTTCCTCGCAACCAATTGGCCACAAAGGCACAATCTTTTCCACGAAAATCCTCTCACACCGTGTCCCCCATGATAGCTCACCATGCCAAAGATTTTTTACGTGAAATCGAAGGTGCAGTTCAAATTCTCCTCCCCTAAAGCATGGGGATCAAATTCCCCACTCCCTGGAAGACTCTGATAATCAAATTCCCTCCTCCCCGGGACGGCAAAGGTGTCAAATGCCCGGGGTATGCCCGGGGGGGGGGGGCATGTTGAAGCTTCGATTTGACCGATAGATTAGTACGACTATCTAATATACTTATTTTAAGATTTACTGTAGCTCTGCCATTGATTTTCCCATGTGTAATTATGATAATATTTTGTTCTAATTATCTAACTGAGGGAGCCCATTCCTTATAAGCCCGGTGGCTTCTCTTGGGCTTCCTCGCCATGAGAGTTTAAGTAATTAGATTTTATTTGATTTGTACAATTTTTGGCAAACAAAATAATAAACAAATAAACAATAAACAAAGTACTGCTGTTGCCTAGTACAGAATATTCTTGATTCAGATAACTATCATTAATTTTGTTTTGGAAAAGTGCATCACATTCCAACGTGAATTGCCAGTGAGTACAAAAGCTGTTCATTAAACAATATTGTGTGCGTCATTTTCATATAAGGAACGGATTATACGAAATTGCACCTATATAATATAAAGAAATAACAAAAATCAACTAATTTCAAAAAGCAAGCAAGCAAATAATTAAGTCCCATACCTTCATTGACATATTGTCTCTTGCTTTTTTTACTACGATGCGTGAAAGGTGACTGCAGAAAGAGCTTGCCAGATACACATTAATTTTCCAAGGTTGTCCTTAGGCTGACCACCTACTACATCTATTATCATCAGTATCTGCAAGACTTTGCGTGTTGTAAAAATGCGATGACTGCTTGCGACATGGCTTGCAACTGCTATGACTGCTATTACTAAAAACTCCAGTAAAACTATTTACTGTACAGGATCCAATGAAATAGGCCAATTACGGGTATTTTTAGGTGACAATCACCAAATGAGGATGAACAAGCTTGAGAAAAATTATGAGAAACACCAGTCATAGAATTTGAATTTTTTGCATGTCTTGTCAACCAAATAACGTGACTGTTATCTTCATAATGTGAAAATATCATGGTTGCTATGGTTTCATTATAAAACATGCCTTTCACACCAAAAAAATGTTAGTGGTTTGGCATTTCAGTGGCGTTTACATAATAAATCGAACATTACATGACCACTTGGAGATACGAAATTTCTCTTCTAGTGTTGAAAAATTAATGTTTCATGAGGTAGTGATATTTGAAGAGAAAATCTTGTATCTCTGTGCTGAGATGAAAGGAAAAGCAAGAGATATCCGTGGAAACCTTGTAAAAAGCCATCACTTAAGGCACCACACTGAAGCTGTCTGTAAAATACTGAAGACATCTTATATTGTGTACTTCCAGAAAATATCCATACCTTACCTTGAAGTGAACGAATGTTGTTGATAATATTTTTGGCAATTTCTTGCTGTATGGCATCTGATAACCTCCAGGACACCGTTAGCTAATTAATTAACCATGGAGGTGATGGCTCACACTACCGACTACAGGAGTAATGTCATCTGCAAAAGAACCAGCTACATTCAAACTAAACACAACGTGAACTTTGATTACTCCAACTTAGTTAGAACATGTTACAACGAAGCTTAGAACACAATCAAATTTAATATGATGGATCAAATGTGTAATAAAGCAACAGCTAGATAGCCGGAAGTTTACTCACAAGCTGATGACAGTTGTATTACACTGTAAGGAAAACTATGACGTAAGCCATGAAGAAAAGCATTTAGCCCACTGTAGATAAAAGATGGTCAACACAAACAATAATACTTGTTTTGAAGACCGGTAATAGCGAAACGGTTGATAGCTTGCTCAACAGAGAAGCTGACATTTGATATTTATATTTTAATATCTATATTTTCCCCTGGAAAAAAAACTCTGTAAGCAACCCTTAACTCCCTCGGAAATTGCCTCGTTTTGGACTCCCTCTCCCCGAAATTTCCGTTGCCCTTTGTGGGGATTATGGATATTTTCTGGAACTACCTCACTACATTTAGCAAAGGGAGGCCATAGATGAAAAAAAGAGTTTTAAAATTTCTCCAGCAAATCAACCTTCTTACAGGACAGAAACTGCAAATGCAAACTACAAATATGCAACTACTACAAATGTCTCCCTTCAGAGTGCTCATTGGCTACTGATTCAGATAAATTCATTTTTTGTAAACATTATTTCTCCAGAATAATGTTCATGTTTTACATCTTTGTCTTTTTTGTAGGAATAAAATGGTGGGAATGATGCTACATGTCCAGTTGAACGATGCATCGGATTTCAACATGTCGATATGAGAAAGCTTGACAGGGACAGAAGGAACTAATAACTTTCCAACTTCTGGTAGATTTAACCCATAAATATAAAATTTGGGGACCAAACGAGGCAACTCGGTATGATTCGCACCTACGTATGACCTTCAAGTTAGATCTGCTGTTGTTCTACTGATTAATGCTGTGAATCCTGCATAGAGCAAGTCGTGGGCAACATTGTGTGGCGGACCGCGTAGAGGGAAGAACGTTTAACCCTTCAAACCGTAAGATCAAAATCTGAATTCTCATTTGTTGCCCCTATTCATTTCCTATAGATGTAGTGAGCAGAAGTTGATAAAATGTCAAGCAAATTTATCTTATAGGTGATCATGTGCGTAATTCTCATGACCACTCTGTTTTACAAAGCATTGATATCAGCTACAAACGGAAATTTCATACTGATCACTCTTAGGGCTTAAAGGGGTAAACGTTCATATCTCATAATCTATCATCTGCCATAGCACTGTGTAGCAAATGATGAAACATACAATTATCTCTGGAGCTACGAAAAATCCTACAAACCCCAAGCAGCGTTATCGCTACTTTATGTATGTACCCAACCATAATAAAAAAGAATACTACAATCTATGTTTTAACGTTTTGTTATCCTTTCTTTTAGAGTTCCTGTCGCTGCCTAACTGCGGCGGAATTGATGTATAAGCTGCTGCATGTTCGGAGGTACATTCTTAGCGGGAGTGAATTTCGTTCTCTGCATCGACAAGTGAGTGCTTTGAGTTTGCAAGTCTTCCCCTTCCTAGATTTCCGCCATTTTCACCTTTAATGTCTTCTCCTTTTCTGTTCCATTACAGAGCACATCAACATTTTTTACCCAATTCTAAAATTATTAACGCGGGCAACGGGAATCCTGGTTTGTCTGGGAACTGATTTTTTGTGTAAAATCGACAGGGTGTATAGGCGTTGAGACGTATCTTGCGTAAACCGCTGACACTCAAAACCGATATTCTACAAAAAATCAGGGAACAGAGAAACGTAGGGATACCAATCTAAAATTAGGAACGCGGGCAACGGGAATCCTGGTTTGTTTGGGAACTGATTTTTTGTGTAAAATCGACGGGGTGTATAGGCGTTGAGACGTATCTTGCGTAAACCGCTGACACTCAAAACCGATATTACACAAAAAATCAGGGAACAGAGAAACGTAGGGATACCAATCTAAAATTATGAACGCGGGCAACGGGAATCCTGGTTTGTTTGGGAACTGATTTTTTGTGTAAAATCGACGGGGTGTATAGGCGTTGAGACGTATCTTGCGTAAACCGCTGACACTCAAAACCGATATTACACAAAAAATCAGGGAACAGAGAAACGTAGGGATACCAATCTAAAATTATGAACGCGGGCAACGGGAATCCTGGTTTGTTTGGGAACTGATTTTTTGTGTAAAATCAACGGGGTGTATAGGCGTTGAGACGTATCTTGCGTAAACCGCTGACACTCAAAACCGATATTACACAAAAAATCAGGGAACAGAGAAACGTAGGGATACCAATCTAAAATTATGAACGCGGGCAACGGGAATCCTGGTTTGTTTGGGAACTGATTTTTTGTGTAAAATCAACGGGGTGTATAGGCGTTGAGACGTATCTTGCGTAAACCGCTGACACTCAAAACCGATATTACACAAAAAATCAGGGAACGGAGAAACGTAGGGATACCACTCTAACTCGGGTACTTTTCAAATTGGAAACTTGTGCTAACTTCTTAGTTTCTTCCTATCTCTACAGGCGATGGTAGCACGCTTTGGGATTACCAAGCAAACTCTATTGATCATGATTATTTCTTCCGCTTTCTTTTTTAAAGAGAGGGCGGTCCACACTACTACAATCTAAAATTATCAACGCGGACAACGGGAATCCTGGTTTGTTTGGGAACTGATTTTTGTGGAAATTCGACGGAATGTATAGGCGTTGAAACGTATTTTGGGTAAACCGCTGACACTCAAACCGATAACACAATAAATCAGGGAACAGAGAAACGTAGGGATACCAATATTGGAAACTTATGCTAACTTCTTACTTTCTTCCATCTCTACAGGTGAGGGTAGCACGCTTTGGGATCGCCAAGTATTCTTTATTAATCATGATTCTTTTTTTTCCGCTTTCCTAGATTTCTAACGTTTTCCTTTTTATCTCTAGTATTTTTGTTTTAGATGGTCCACAACACTGGACTTTGTAGGCTTTGACTTTTATTCAGTCTTTCAGGGTTAAAGCAAAGATGTGCATAATTCTAGCTTAAAATTATTGGGTAGAGGTTAGAATCCTGGACCCTGACTGACCACACACTGCTGCTTTTGCTTCAAGTTTGGCTGGTGAGTATATCACGTTATGATTTTCTTTTAATTTTCCTTTTTAATATCTAGTCATTTTGAAGAAGCGACTTTTTAAAACATTCAGCTTTAAAAAATTGCGAAAAAACGTTTCTTAAAAACTTTTAATAAATTTTAAAAAAGGTAAAAAATACACAACTTTTCGACGCTACCGGATGTCATTATCAAGAGAAAAGAGATGCAATATCAATGTTCTATAAATACAAGAAAAGCAGTAGTTAATTAAAAGGAAAGTAGCAAATAAAAATATGTCACAAGTCAAACAAAGAGGTCAGAACTGATGGAGTCACTCTGAGTGCTGAGGCTAGGCCTCGGTTCTTTGATGAATAGCATTTCGTAAACGAGGCAGTCAAATTTCTCGTGGCATTTCTTGAGAACGCGAAATTGGCCCTCATTGAGAAGATTTTTGCAGTCACTGTGCGCTTCTAATAAATGTTTACCGATAGCTGAATACTTGTGTTCGGCAATGCTTTGATGAAGGTGTCGGGCTGTGTAGCCAACATAATCTGCATCACACAGATCACGTGCAAATTTGTAAACAACGCATTGCTGACTTACAAAACTCGGCTTAATTTCTTTAGGCTTAAGATCTTGCTCCAATTTTTTGCGCACAAAAATAAGCTCATAAATTCTACCTTTAATATGTTTGTTCAGAATATTGCAACTAAGCCAGAAAAGAAAACCGACGATGGCAACACGATCAGCATAGTTCTTCCATTCAAAGATCAGATAGCCGCTAACGCAGTGCGTGCGTAGGCAATTGCGTGATCTCAGCAATAAGATTGCCATCACTTTACAGCCCCCTCTTAGGAAAAAATGCGCAAGAGGAGCGTCCGTAAACAGCGTAAACAATTTTCCCTTGCACTGAACTTGTGGAAGAATTATGCGATATCAGCCAGGACCCATAAAACTGTTATTCTTACCTTAGAAGTCTCCTTTTTATTGCCAATACAGCTAATCAAATCAATTGTAGTGGTTAGTGTCCAATTGCTATTTTAGATCTGAGACTAAGGGGGCAGTTTACAGAGTTTTAAAAGCTAATTTATAATGCTTCCTTGTTTTATGAGGATCTGCCAAAGCAAAACGACAAGAGTAAGAAAGTGGAAGAGGAAGATTAGTAAACTGGACAAGGACATCAGGGATAAAACATCGGCCACACTGAATCGAAGTAAGTTTACAAGTCTTTCGACAAGAAAAATAACGGAAAAACCTTACTCAGTAAAATGTCTATCAAAAGGCCCGGGAGAGGCTTTTTTCCAGTCACTGTTGAAGGGGAAATACCAAGGAGAAGAGAGACCATTGCTGGTTTGCACGTGAGGTCACGGCGGCCATATTGGAGGTCAAGAACAAAAGCATTTCTCTCCTCTGGTAACTTAACTCTGTTTTCATGTAAATTCTTCAAGAAAAATTCTATTGTATTGACCCTCAACATGGCCGCCTTGTCACGTGGTTGCAAACCAAGAATTGGAGAGGGTTGCTTGATACATTCTGTTGAAGGAGGTGAAAAGATTACACCAAAGTTTCAATTTAGCGGCCCTGCAGACCAAAGTCTGATTCAGCCTTTCATGGAGCCATTTGAACTCAATTTCAACCAAAAAGAGCCCTTTAAAAAGCCTATTCCAGCCCACGCTGGGACGTATTTCAATCCTTGGGTCCATATTAGCCCTAGATAATCGTATTGTATTGTTGTTGATAATTCATGTTAACATAACATTTACCACGTAACCTATGCCAACTACCAGATGTGGTTAACACTGGATACTCATATACGGCCATTTACATTCTTAACATCCGATGATTAATGGACAATTTTAATTTTATTTCTCATAATTAACAGCTAAACAAGGAAAGAGAACCTTGAGCCCCAATATAGTGTCGCATCTAACAGAGAAGCGGAACTTATCAGAATTGTTGTTCTGTGAAATAAAACTGGATTGTAAGAACAAGGCTCTGAATGTGGAACAGAAGGATTGGTTAAATGTTGCAGGAATTTATGTCCTCTTCATAACCATATCAGCAGATGAGATCAAGATTAAGTCACTTTTACAGGAAACATTTCGATGAAAATAGGATGTTTTAAAACTAACCTTCGTTTTCGGCGGCCGTTTCTTTTTACTAAGTAAAAGTCCCGTAGGAAGGACTATGGAGCTTGAGCCTTGGTTCCCACCCAGATTTCCTGCCCGCATTTTTTCCCCTCGGGGTTTTTTGCAATGGGGCAGGTTTTTTCTGGCCTCCGTCTGACCGCTTTTATTTCAGTTGTAAGCGGTAGCTCAACTCTGCCAGATTTCAGTCTTGCTTCGTTTTTTAGCAATATCTTTCAATTTACTCTAAGGTCAGTTGACCCAGAATAGGTTACAAGTTTTGGCGACATAAATTAAGATTGACTTTAGAATGTACACCTCAAGCCAGGGATGTGAACTGTATAATATACCCTTGGTTATTAGCCTGTGAACTTGGCTGGGTACATGAGTAATAGCAGTGCTTTGGGAAAGACTGACAAAACTTGAATTATTCGCAGATTACACGTACACTAGTTGGCTATATCGTATAACAGGGATGCTCCTTGCCAAGCCCTCCAAAACTAAACGTATATGCTTAGACACTAACCATTATTTAACAGTTGGAACTTTGTACATTAGTTCAAAAAATTGAAATTAAAAATGTTTTCCTTCGTTATAGTCAGAGAAAACAACCGACATTTGGCGACGCTTCCACTGGTTTCCCTGCCAAATGACCTCTGAAAAATGGGTGCAGAAATTCCATACTGATGGGTAGTTACGCGTCATCAGTATGGACTTTCTGTGCTCGTTTCTCAGACGTCATTTGGCGGGGAAACCAGTGATAGCGTCGCCAAATGTCGGATGTTTTCTCGGGCTATTTTCATTGGTGTATATTTGTTGTTTACTTCACATATACGCATACTCGAGCGAGTGCTATCTTCAAAGACTTTGCAATCGTTCTCAAACGCTAGGTTTACGATCAGTGCATCTTACTAACAGTCACCTACGGATATGTGACCTGGAATCTTACGAAACAACAAATCTTGAAACTCAAAACTATGCAGAGAGCGCATGTGAGAATCATGGCGAGATCGTAAAACAGCTCATTGGATCCGAGAAGAAACCAAAGTAACAGATATCATAGAAATAATAAGCAAACTCAAATGGAACTGGGCTTGTTATTTGGCGAGAAGAACGGACAACCGTTGGACGATCAGCATTACGTTCAGGACGCGCCGGGGACACACAAGGAACCGAGAAAGACCAAGGACGAGATGAAGGGAAGACTTACATGGTTTCCAAAACCTGTAACCGTGTCGCGCAAAAAGTAGTTCAGTAGAGGTCAGTGGGGAAGGCCTACGAGGTCTATCGACCGACGTTCAACGGTTGAAACTGAACTGAACACAACCGTAAGTTAACATAAGCACGTCTCATGCTCCTTGAACAAGCATTCGACAAACAGCACGGTCCTTTTTCAAGTAAAATATTGCACATCTGGTGTGGTCATGATAACACCTACACAACATACAAATATTCTACCACCTCAAATTCAACAGATTCTTGAACTTTTGCTCAAGTTTGTCTTTAAAAGTTCTTGGTCTGGATGGATTTGTGCAACCTCAGTAGGCACCCAAGATATGTTGACGAACAGGAGATTAAAGAGTTTCAGGCTTATTAGACGGAAAATATTTCTGATAGTGCAAACGTCCGTCGGAGCATTTGAAGAAAATTGCTTGCACAAAATATAAACGCATCATAGTGGCGACCAGCGAAAGGTTTCTAAAGACGGGCTATAAAGCCATAGGGGCAAAAAGTATTCGCTAAGCAAGCAAGAATTTTAAAGTCTAAGAAATAATATTTGAAGACGTTTTAGACAGAAAAGAATCGTTTTCTCGCCTATAAAAATATGCATTTCAGATAGTCGCAAAATTTTGGTAGAAAAAATTGAACCTTTTTCATTTTATGTGTTTGAGAAAAACTGCCTAGAAATAATGCTCTAAAGGTTTCGATAGAAAAAAAACCGTTTCTACCCTTTAAAAAATATACACTGCAGATAGTCGTAAATTTGCATATTGTCCAAAGGGATTAAACCAGCATTTTTTTCATCTTCTGTTTTTGGGCAAAAATGATCTTGAAAAGAATGTTTGAAGATCTTTTAGATAGAAAAGAAACGTTTCTAGCCCATAAAAATATGCACTTCAGATAGTCGCATTTTTCAATATTTTCCAAAGGGGTTAACCCCATAATTTTGGTCAAACAATAAAACTTTTCATTTCTTGTTTTTTGGCAAAAATGATGTTGAAATAATGTTTGGGGATCTTTTCGATAGAAAAGAATCTTTTCTAGCCTATAGAAATATGCACTTCAGAAAGTCGCATTTTTGCTTATTTTCCAAAGAAGTTAACCCATGATTTGGTGAAGAAATGGAATGTTTTTCATGTTCTCTTACTGGGCACAAAAAATCTTCAAATAATATTTAGAAATCTTTTCGAAACGTACGAGTCGTTTCTGGTCTAAAAAAAATATGCACTTCAGATAGTCGCATTTCTGTATATTTTCCAAGGTCAAAAAGTTAAACTTTTTTCATTTCCTGTTTTTAGGTAAAAATGATCTTGAAATAATGTTTGGGATCTTTAAGATAGAAAAGAATCGTTTCTAGCCTATACAAATATGCACTTTAGATAGTCGCATTTTGGCATATTTTCCAAAGGGGTTAACCCATGATTTTGGCCAAACAAGAGCACTTTTTGCATTTTCGGCGTTTGGGCAAAAATCGTCTTAAAATAATGTTTGGGGGTCATTTCGACAGAAAAGAATCGTTTCTGGCCTTTAAAAATTTGCACTTCTGATAGTCGCACTTTTGCTCCTTCTTTTTTAAAAGGGGATAACCCATGATTATCGTCAAAAAACAAGAAGTTCAAAAAGTCGAAATATTGACATTTTCCTAAAGGGGTTAACACATGGTTTTCGTGCAAAAATCGTCATTTTTCCAACTTTTTTTTTTAGGCAATATAGGCAAAGAAAAAGTCTTTTACGATATTCTAGAACAAAAAAAAAACGCCTTTCTAGGCTATAAAAACAAGAAGTTCAAAAAGTCAAAAAATTGACCTTTTTCCAAAGAGGTTTACCCATGGTTTTTGGTCCAAAAATGGCCATTTTTCCAACTTTTTTTATTAGGTAATATAAGCCAGAAAAATGTCTTTTGCGATATTCTACAACGAAAAAGCGCCTTTCTAGACTATAAAAACAAGAAGTTCACAAGGTAGAAAAATTGACGTTTTTCCAAAGGGGTTAAGCCATGTTTTTGGTCCAAAAATGGCCTTTTTTCCATCTTTTTTTAAAGCAATATAGGCCAGGAAAATGTGTGTTACGATATTCTAGAAAAAACAAAATAACTTTCTAGGCTATAAACACAAAGAGTTTAAAAATTCGAAAAAATTTAGATTTTTCCAAAGGGTTAACCAATGGTTATTGTCCAAAAATGGCTATTTTTCCACCTCTTTTGATGCAATATAGGCAAGAAAAATGTATGAAAAACCGCATTTTTAGGCTAAAAAAACCAGAAGTTCAAAAAGTCAAAGAATGGACATTTTTCCAAAGGAGTTAACCTATGGTTTTGTTCCAAAAATGGCCATTTTTTTAAACTTTTTTAGGGGGGGAGCAATACAGGCCGGGAAAATGTCTTTTACGATATTCTAGAACCAAAAAACGCCTTTCTAGGCTATAAAAACCAGAACTTCAAAAACTCAAAAAATTGACATTTTTCCATAGGGGTTAGCCCATGGTTTTCGTCCAAAAATGGCCATTTTTCCAACTTTTCTAAGAAGGGGCGGGATAATATAGGCCAAAAAAAATGTCTTTTACGATATTCTAGAACGAAAAATCGAATTTGTAGGGTATTAAAACAAGAAGTTCAAAAAGTCGAAAAATTCACGTTTTTCCAAAGGGGTTAAAACATGGTTTTCCTCCAAAAATGGCCATTTTTCAAGACAATTTTTTTTTAGGCAATAAAGGCCAGGAAAAAATCGTTTAAGATATTCTAGAACGAAAAAACGCCTTTGTAGGCTATTGAAACAAGAACTTCAAAAAGACAAAAAATTGACGTTTTTCAAAAAGGGTTACCCCATGGTTTTGTTCAAAAAATGGCCATTTTTCCACCTTTCTTTTAGGCAATATAGGCCAGGAAAATGTCTTTTACGATATTCTAGAACGAAAAAACGCCTTTCTAGGCTATAAAAACAAGAAGTTCAAAAAGTCAAAAAATCCACGATTTTCCATAAGGGATAACCAATGGTTCTTACGCAATATACGCAAAGAAAACGTCTTTTACGATATTCTAGAAGGAAAAAACGCCTTTCTAGGCTATAAAAACAAGAAGTTCAAAAAGTCTAAAAAATTGAACTTTTTCCATAGCTGTTAACCCATGGTTTTCCTCCAAAAATGGCCATTTTTCCAACGTTTTTAAAGGGAGGGGGCAACATAGGCAAGGAAAATGTCTTTTACGATATTCTACAACGAAAAAACGCCTTTTTAGGCTATAAAAACAAGAAGTTCAAAAAGTCAAAAAATTCACATTTTTCCAAAGGGGTTAACCTATGGTTTTGGTCCAAAAATGGCCATTTTTACAACTTTTTTGGGGGAGGCAATTTTGGCCAGGAAAATGTCTTTTACGATATTCTAGAACGAAAAAAAGCCTTTTCAGGCTATAAAAACAAGAAGTTCAAAAAGTCAAAAAATTGACATTTTTTCAAAGTGGTTAACCCGTGGTTTTCTTCCGAAAATGGCCATTTTTCCAACTTTTTTAGGAGAGGGGGGGGCAATATACGGCAGGAAAATGTCTTTTACGATATTCTAGAACGAAAAAACGCCTTTCTACGCTGCAAAAACAACAAGTTCAAACAGTCAAAAAAATTGACGTTTTTCCAAAAGGGTTATCCCATGGTATTGGTCCAAAAATCGCCAATTTTTCAACAT